TTAAATTTCTGTTTCAAATAAATGCTGTTCTTGGTTTGTATCATGGTTTCCACAAAAATATTAAGCAGCAGAACTGTTTTCAACATTGATAATAATAAGAAATGTTTCTTGAGCAGCAAATTAGAATGATTTCTGAAGGATCATGTGACACTGAAGACTGGAGTAATGACTGCTGAAAATTCAGCTTTGCATCACAGGAATAAATTGCGTTTTAAAATACATTAAATTACAAAACAGCTATTTTAAATTGTAATTTTATTTCACAATTTTATAGTTTTTACCGTATTTTCTGATCAAATAAATACAGCCCTGGTGAGCAGGAGAGACTTCTTTTTAAAAATATTATCAAACCCATACTTTTGAATGGTAATGCATGTGATAGGATGTCAAATGCTTTATTTTCATCCGTCGTTCAAGGGGGACATTTTAAAAAGTGTGGTGAACATGGACTCTACAGCTCGTGCCCACTGGTTATTATCAACAGCTGTGTTTACATGGAGGCAATTCTTAAAGACCATGTACATCTACCTGATGAAGTAGCCTTGTGCAGGAAATCATCCTGTTGACTGAGAACTGAATCCTTCCCTCCCAGAACTGTTTGAATGGTCCATTGTACTGTTTGTGAAGCAAACGGCCCCTCAAAAAGGTCATAGCACTTCACCCAGGTTCAACTGCCTTAATCTTCTTTTACCTGTTATGATTTCTTTAAAATATACTATGTATAGACTGAAACAAATACTATGACCTGACAGGAGGGGAGGGAATATGTGCTATATTCGTTGCTGGAGCTACATAATATCTGTCTGTCTTAGTATAAAATGACTCAGAAATTTGATATGCAGGCATTGGAGTCATATTTGTGCTGACACATTGTGTGGATTCATTACACTGAGATTTTATACCGAATGTCTGTGGTGATGAGAGAAACATTTTAATGTTTGTCTATCTTCCGATATTTATTTATACAAAATTGCTCAAAATGATGTTTGGAGTGTCACTTTGCACTTTGAGTTCATACAGTTTTTGTGGTGTGTGTGAAACACCGTTGTCACCAGCTGTATACATCTTGAAATAAAGATTTTAATGTGTGAACTGAGAGAGAAGTTGAACATTTTTAAACAGAAAGGGTTCCAGTGGTCAAGGAAAACCTGGAAATATTATGGGAAAAAAATCATGAAAAATAAGACATTTCTGTAGTGAATATACACTACCGTTTAAAAGTTTTGAGTCGGCAAGATTTTTTTTTACTAACGTTTCGCTTATGCCAACCAGAAAAGGCATTTATTTGATCAAAAAATACCGTAAGAAAACGGCAATGTTGAAATATTTTTACAATTTCAAATAACTGTTTTGTATTTTAATTTATATTTTAATGTAACTTATTCTTGTGATGGTAAAGCTGAATTTTCAGCATCATTACTTCAGTCTTCAGTGTCACATGATCATTCAGAAATCTAATATGCTGATTTGGTGCTGAAGAGACATTGATATAATTCTCAATGTTGAAACTAGCTGTGCTGCATATCTTTTGGGAAACAATAATACATTTTTTCAGGCCTCTTTGATGGAAAATAAAGTTTCAAAAAAAAAAAAAAGTTGAACTCTAGTGTAGATTCGACTTTATTAACCCGATATCCATTATTTTGAGTGCTGTCTCTATTAAACAATTTTTAGTTTAAGAATGTTTTTGTTAAACAAATCTTGTCTGGTCGTCCTTGATTACTGGAAAAGCCATGACAGTTAATTTATCAAAAGGTAGAGAACCTTGTTTCTATTACTGAATTAATATATCCCCAATGAAATACCATTAAACATATAAATACTAAAAGTTTCTTAAATTATAACTGGAGAGAAAATTTATACTGAGTTTGCCATGAACAAATTTTAAACAATTTAAATCTGAAAATAGATTTTCATACTTTTATTGTAGTTGCTATACATAATACAAAAGGACCCCTTTATATATTGTACCAATATTTGCAGAGCTTGTTTTGTTGGGAAGACGGGTCAGAACACGTCTATTACTTTAGATAACATTCTTACTCACAGACATATTACCATCACCTGCAGGTTGCTATATATAAACCATCAATATTTTGTCAGATGAGTACATTAGTACAAGTGCTTTTCACAAACACATCTTCCTCCCACATGACAGCTAGTTAATCAGTCCTGCGGTAAGTGATGTGCAAATGCTGCGTCAGAGGCTGTCCTTCCAGTGCCATAGAGATCGTCTGTTCCAGCTTTCCATCCGGCTTCAACTGGATGTGCCTGGAGATCTGATCAAAAATCTAAATTATTAGTGGAACATTTATTCTAACAATTATGCCAATTCAGCACAATTTAAGCCATATTTTCATAATTTTCACCGCTGAATATATTTTCTTTATGAAAATATTGCTACATAAGAGCTTATTGTTTCATTAATCTGACAAGGCGCAAGTCAAACAGTTTGTGTTATGAGACCTGTTGAACATAAGGCTGCTTGGCAAAAGATGTTCTAGCCAGGGCAGTACTGTGCAGAGTCAGCTGCTGTCCAGTGAGTTCCCCTATGACCTGACAGGAGGGGAGGGAATATGTGCTATATTCGTTGCTGGAGCTACATAATATCTGTCTGTCTGTCTTAGTATAAAATGACTCAGAAATTTGATATGCAGGCATTGGAGTCATATTTGTGCTGACACATTGTGTGGATTCATTACACTGCGATTTTATACTGAATGTCTGTGGTGATGAGAGAAACATTTTAATGTTTGTCTAGCTTCCGATATTTATTTATACAAAATTGCTCAAAATGATGTTTGGAGTGTCACTTTGCACTTTGAGTTCATACAGTTTTTTTGGTGTGTGTGAAACACTGTTGTCACCAGCTGTATACATCTTGAAATAAAGATTTTTAATGTGTGAACTGAGAGAGAAGTTGAACATTTTTAAACAGAAAGGGTTCCAGTGGTCAAGGAAAACCTGGAAATATTATGGGGAAAAAAAACATGAAAAATAATATAAATTTCTGTAGTGAACATGATCATTCAGAAATCTAATATGCTGATTTGGTGCTGAAGAAACATTGATATAATTCTCAATGTTGAAACTAGCTGTGCTGTATATCTTTTGGGAAACAATAATACATTTCTTCAGGCCTCTTTGATGGAAAATAAAGTTTCAAAAAACAAAAGTTGAACTCTATAGTGTAAATTCGACTTTATTAACCCGATATCCATTATTTTGAGTGCAATCTCTATTAAACAATTTTTAGTTTAAGAATGTTTTTGTTTAAAAAATCTTGTCTGGTCGTCCTTGATTACTGGAAAAGCCATGACAGTTAATTTATCAAAAGGTAGAGAACCTTGTTTCTATTACTGAATTAATATATCCCCAATGAAATACCATTAAACATATAAATACTAAAAGTTTCTTAAATTATAACTGGAGAGAAAATTTATACTGAGTTTGCCATGAACAAATTTTAAACAATTTAAATCTGAAAATAGATTTTCATACTTTTATTGTAGTTGCTATACATAATACAAAAGGACCCCTTTATATATTGTAACAATATTTGCAGAGCTTGTTTTGTTGGGAAGACGGGTCAGAACACGTCTATTACTTTAGATAACATTCTTACAGACATATTACCATCACCTGCAGGTTGCTATATATAAACCATCAATATTTTGTCAGATGAGTACATTAGTACAAGTGCTTTTCACAAACACATCTTCCTCCCACATGACAGCTAGTTAATCAGTCCTGCGGTAAGTGATGTGCAAATGCTGCGTCAGAGGCTGTCCTTCCAGTGCCATAGAGATCGTCTGTTCCAGCCTTCCACCCGGCTTCAGCTGGATGTGCCTGGAGATCTGATCAAAAATCTAAATTATTAGTGGAACATGTATTCTAACAATTATGCCAATTCAGCACAATTTAAGCCATATTTTCATAATTTTCACCGCTGAATATATTTTCTTTATGAAAATATTGCTACATAAGAGCTTATTGTTTCATTAATCTGACAAGGCGCAAGTCAAACAGTTTGTGTTATGAGACCTGTTGAACATAAGGCTGCTTGGCAAAAGATGTTCTAGCCAGGGCAGTACTGTGCAGAGTCAGCTGCTGTCCAGTGAGTTCCCCCTCCTCAATCTCCACAAGACCTGGAAGAGGTAGAAACAGATGATTAAAAAAAGATACATGGTACTATAGACAGTGCTGGGTAGATTAATTTCAAAGTTGTAGTTTGTTGATGATTACAAATGGCATTACAATATTTGTAGTTAGTAATATAATCTATTAGATTACACATTTTAAGTAATGCCTTCTGACTACTTTTTGATTATTTTTAGAATACTTTTGAATAGAATTATTTTGTTCCATATTCATATCAGATTTTTATTTTTTTTAAGTGATATATATATATATATATATATATATATATATAATTTGTGTACATGCATGTCATGTGACCATTAAAAGAGAATTCATTAATTATTAATATTGTAGTGGCATTGTGTAAATACATAATCATTTAATCATTAAAAAGTAGCTGTAGTCTGATTACGAGTATTTTAAAAAGTAAATCCAATTACAAGTACTTCATTTTTGGAATCTGATTACATAATCCAGATTACTACCCACTGCTGATTATAGATGACAGATTTTTTTAAATAAATCAAACACCTGAGTTCTGTGCAATGATGAAGGCCACCCTGTTGGTACCTGGCTGAAGCCTGATGAATCCACACTCCCTGTGAAGTGGCTTTTTGCTCTCAGCATGGAAAGCATTAAACCTGAAATAAGTAAATAAATACAGGTGCATCTCAATAAATTAGAATGTCGTGGAAAAGTTCATTTCAGTAATTCAACTCAAATTGTGAAACTCCGGAAACACGGACGGTGGTTTAAATGAGGTCGAAACACGCTTGTCCGTGATATGAAATATGTTCACGATCACATTCTGATGCACCTGTTGTTTATTTAATGCTTGTTTTGTTTTGTTTTTTATGGTAATGCATTTAACGTTTGACCTACAGACGACAGCTCGGAAATAATAAACCACTAGAAATAAGACAAATTAACGTTAGGTGTCTATGAATTTAAATGGAATCATCATGTTGTCCTACCAGAGTGATTGAATGGGCATGACATTCCGCTTGAATATTTTGAAATAACCACGAATTTTACCAATATAAATGACACTAAATTTATTTCGCGCTGCGATTGTACTCTTTGCCATCACAGTGCGTATCTACTTCCTGATTAGACACTAGGAATTCTGGGAGATGTAGTTATTAGGCGCTCTAACTATACACTTGACGCGGATCAAGCTGAAGAACGAAGACTTTACTTCCACTACAGGCTATATTGCGTCATTATGTCGACTAATATATATATAAACATATATAGTAAAAAAGAATAAAATCAAAATGCTACAGTTTATTTTCCGTGAATTTACTTTTCATTTTACTTTTATAAAAGTACACTTTTTTAATTTTATTTATTTTTTCTTTTTAAACATAGAAGTGGCGACACTCATAAAAATGTAAACAAAACAAAAAGAAAATAAAGCTGTTGAAGTGTTTATAATAGAAAAATATCTACAACACAACACATAGTAACACTTCAGCTATTCATGGTAATTTTTTTATTGTCAAACTGTGAGAATCCAGATACATACAATATCAGATACAATATCAGGCACGATTTAAAACATTAACTAGATTTCAATTTGATCTTATATGTTATATTTACATTTTAATTTGATACCTTAATTTTAACTTTACTCTAGAATCATCTGTTACCTTCTAACTACAAATCAACCCTTAATCTAAATAGTCGGTGTTGTTTCTTCCCTCTAGAGAAGCTATCTTGTGAGGTCATAGGCCAGACGGGTTATCATCAGTAATAAGAGTGGGTTCAAACGCCTTGAGCTCATCATGGCTACTGGTCTTGGCGAGTTTCTCCGTAGTTTAAAACAAGGCCTTATGAAAGGAGAACAAAATACACCTGCGCGTGGAGATAATCAGGTTGGGGAATTTGCTCGTACGACCAGGTAAGCAGTCGAGTCGCGTTGGAGGTTTAAACAATGCTTTGGGAGACCCATTCGCTAATGACACACTTTCTATACGCAGATAGAATGTTTGTTTTTCATTTGTCATAGGCGGAGAGGTCATGACACCTCCATGTCGACGCCTATGCAGCGTGAACCGTGTAAAACTCGGTCTGTGTCTGAACATTGCGCTAAGGGCAGCCATGGAAATTATTTGGAGAGGCAAGTTATTCCACATTTAAATATTTAAGTTTTGTATAAGATGTATATTATTGCATATCATACAGCAAAGCTGTAAAATATGTTATCTGTCCATCTTAGATTGCCTTCTGAGATCATCCTGAAGATTCTTTCCTTTCTGGATGCCTCCTCTCTGTTCAAAATCAGCTTTGTCAACAAGCAGTTTCATGATCTGGCTAACAACAAGTGAGTTCATGATATAAATAATTTGAATAAGGAATATTATATATTAACATGAATGTCCAGTGCTTTGTGGTCTGTGTTGTATGCTTCTGAGATTGAAAAGAAAAAGTGGAGACCCAGAGTGAGCATGATGACGGAAGCCGTGAGCAGCACAATTGTGGAAGAGAAGCCTGCTGGATACTGGAAGAAGGTGCTACTCAAGGAGATGGCCGGCTACAAGGACACCATGTGGAAAACGGAGCTAAAACACATGAACCCGCACTCGGGCATGCCAGCTCTGACAGAGCATGCTCTCAGGTAAAACATGAGAGCTCGCTGCTTTTCAACAGGGCAGAAATAAATCTTTTGGGTCCAGTCATGCTTATTAGTTCTACACAAAAGCATTTCTCATTACTGTATTTTAAATTACCCAGAACTGCAGTATAATGCAAAAGTAATTTAGCAACACCTAAAATGAATGAATGCCTCAAAATATGAACTAAAGTGACATTTATTACCAATTTATTACCAGGGGTCACATGATGCGATTTCAAGTTTTCTTTTCTATTTGGAGTGTTACAAGCTGTTCGTGAATAGATAAGATCCCTAAAGTTGCAAAGACTAAAGTCTCAAACCCAAAGAAATATTCTTTATAAAAGTTAAGACTCGTCCACGCCCTCCTAAAACGGCTCCTTATTTTTACGTCACTGTGTGGGAGTATTTACAACACTGTTCCAGAACAGTTCGACCCAAATATTCAGATGTGTGCTGCGCATTTTATGGAGGACTGTTTCCTGATTTTGGTAGAGTAGACTACAATGCCGGTGTTCTGACAAATAATGCTGACTCACAGTCTGTAAGTATGTTTTCATATTTAAAGAATTTGCCACTGATGATTCAAACGCGAGTTTTGAGCAGTGTAGTAGAGTAGAAATGCAGACATTGTTTTATGTTTACGCGGCGTGATGCAACGCAACGAGTAAAAAGACAGTATAAGTCATTATAATCCGTAATTATGTCCCCACTGGATGCAACAAATGCCTCGTTTGTAATGGGTTTTATTGTTTTTGTCTCGTCACGCTGGGACACAGCATCACAGTATGGTAAGGGGTATAGAGGAGAAACAATAATGTACAGTATGTGGAAAATAATGTGTTTTTTTAACCTTAAACCGCATAAACACATTTCATTACACCAAATACACAAAATAATGTTCTTTTTAGCAACATCATATGACCCCTTTAAAAAGAAAAATAACACATTTCAAGCAAAGCATTTATGAAACAATAATTTGTTGTAAAAAATTGAGTAGAGATTAATATAAAAAAAATTTCTGACTGATACTATTGATTTTTGTGTTTGTCTGATAACAAATCTAAAGAACTAATTTGTAGAAGATTTGTGATTGTTTTATTTCAATATTTTTATTACAATAATAAATAAATAATCATTATTTTTATCCCTGAAACATAAAAACATACCATGAGATATTTTAAATATTATATTAAAAGATTAAAAAACACATTTTTATATATGCAGGTATACACATGCCATTTTATTTCTGCAGAGTGGTTTTATGATCCAAATGGTCAGACATTTAATTAATTTTCTTTCATTTCTTTCCTTTGTTTTGAAATGTATTATATAGCAAAGCAAGACATTGTTTTAGGATATGTCTTGCTCTGCTATATTACTCTTGCTATGATATGTGAGACATAAAAAAGTAAATATATTTTAAACTTAAATAGCAACACTTATAGATAGACCTGGTTTTGTGATAAGCAATTAGGTAGGGTCAAGTAAAAAATTACATTAGTCAAACCAAGTATGAGTCTATAAAATTTAAAGGAATAGTTCATCCAAAATGTAAAAATTTGCTACAAATAATTTGCTCACCCTCAGGCAATCCAAGATGTAGATAAGTTAGTTTTTTATCAGAGCACATTTGGAGAACTTTAGCTCTACATCACTTGTTCACAAATGGATCCTCTGCAGTGAATGAGTGCCGTCAGAATGAGAGTCCAAACAGCTGCTAAAAACACACAGCTCCAGTCCATCAATTAACAACTTGTGAAGTAAAGAGCTGCGTGTTTGTAATAAATACATCAGTGAGAGATCCATAATCCATAATAACACTTCATTGAGTGAAAAAGTCCATCCCCTGTTGTCCTCTCACATCAAAATCCACCAACACATTTGTTTAGAACTGTTGTGGACTGTGTTTACTTGTAAACGTTGCTTAATCTGTGCACATTTCTCTCCTGGGGGTGGGTAAATTTTCAGAAAATGTTCATTTTTGGGTGAACTATTCCTTTAAAGCATCTGGATATTTTCTAGCTGTCAAATATAAGTGGAACATGTCCATAGTGAAAGTGAGGAAATACACCTGTGGTTGCTGTGTTTTACAGGAGGTTACACATTCAGTGGGAGATCACACTCACAAATAAGAATGGACAGGAAAGTGTCTATAAGCAGACGCACACGTTCTTCGAAGATTCATCGGTTACAGTGTGCTGGAGCCATGGCTTCTGGCCTTTCATGTACAATCTTAATAGCCTTCAGCTTCATGGAATAATGTGTCCAGCTTCACCAGCTCCAGGAGACAAGTAAGAAACACATCTGAATAATCTGAAGCATAATACATACACTCATCTGACTTATGCCTCTAATGTGTAGGCCAAGGGGGCGCTC